TTCTCAGAATGATTTCAATAACAACAACAGCAAAAACAACAAAGAAACACAGCCAGCAACCCATGGGTTTATCAGCAGATGAATAGATAAGCAAAATATACAATGCTCATACAATGAAATATCATTAAGCCATCAGAAGGAATAAAATAATGACACATGCTACAGCATGTCTGATCTTTAAAAACCTATATATGATTGCTAATTTTACTCAGAACATAAACTAATTATAATATCAATAATTGTTAGCAACTAAAATATCCTTTGTCTGGTGAATGTATATACATATTGTGGTATAGTCATATCATAAAATACTACTGAGATATGTGTAGCAATGTAGATGAATCGGAAGGGCATTGAGCCAAACAAAAAATGCCATTTTCAAATGCTCGTGCATTGTGTAATAAGTTAAAAATTGTGTTAGCAAATGGGGCTGCAGCCTGGGCCCTCTCATAACTCCCATTTAATCTGAGGATTAAATTTATTTGGATCTTTTTAGAGTGATATATTGAAATTGAAACTACAATCCCTCAAATCCATCATCGATTTATCATCACCTAAAGAATGTTTCTAAATGGTACACAAAGCAGCATGGACAGGAGGGTGTCGCAGATAAGTGATGTAGATGCACCTGGAGTTTGAGGGCCCAGAAGCAAGATAAACACACACTGAAGGACAGATTCCTGAGGAACAGGGCCGGGTAGCTCTGGCAGGCACCCCCAATACAGAGAACATAATCCTCCTTCCGTCAGCAGCAACAGCTAAGGAATAAATCTCTGGTTGAGGGGACACATGCAGGACAGAGGCTCAAGTGGGTTCTTGCCCTGTCATAAACCCCATGGGATCAAATCTTGTTTTAAACTATTCTTCCAGAACTACAGTTATCTCATTCAGCCAAACTTACCCACTCAGAGTAGACTAATAAACAGTAGTGGCTAGAGAAGAACAGCCTAACTGTGTGAATCCCACTGACGCCAGAGATCTCGTTTCTGCCCAGTCAGGCAGTGTGAGAGCTGAGAGTGGGAGCCACAGAGGCATTTCCCAGCATTCCATGTTGTAAGGCTTTGGAAGAGAAGGTGCTAGGTTGTCTCCTGGACTTCATGCCATCACCAACTGCACTGTTTCCAACAACCCTGGGCAAACACAGCCACTTTACCTCCTGAAGATAGAAGAATAAAGAGGTGTATGGCCAAGGCAAGAAGAGACTGGCAGACAATTCATAACAAAGCTAGAAACAACCAAGAGCAAAATGAAGACCAAGTTTCCACACAGTCCTCAGAGAAGACATCCACAGAGGAAAGCTGTTATGCCAGAGCAATCATGAAGCATGGACACTCACAAGGAACTGGGAACCACTAAGTAGAATGGCTAGACAAGCTCTGGGGTCAGCATGGAATCGGACCCTGCTTCACTTCAGAAGAGCTATGCATTCTCTTTGCACAGTAAATCACCATATCAGTTGTATGCTAATTCCTTGACAAACGCCATTTACTCATGAACACTGGGCATGGGTGAGCACAGCAAACAGCGGTTATAAACATGCAAAACCATGGCTTGAGAACAGAAATGACTTCACAAGTAGGTTGCCTTGGGACCTACACGTTGTGTGTCCTTATCCCTTCAACTCAGAGCAGCCACAGAGGCATCCACTGATGTTTGCTAGAAATACAAATGCTGGGTGTCCCAGACCTCCTAGTCAGAACTTGCATCATAACCATCTGGTGGTTCGTCTGCATATTAAAAGTTCAGGGTGGCACTTCTCTGTATCCCTGTGGTGTGCTTGAACGAACCAGGTGCTGCAGTCAGCTGGAATTTGGAGGTAGGATTGCTGTACTGTATTCAAGTAGACTGAAAACCAGAACCAGTCAGTGGTTTGTAGAACCTGGAAAACAGCTTTCTTAAGGGGGAAATTTACAGGATTCATCAGACAAGGAACTTCCAATAGAAGTCAAGTCAAACTTTCTAGTAGCAAGTGGACTTAGGATGGATATGCAGAAAAGGAGACTCTGTGGTGAGACAGTGGCCGAAAGGGTCAGATACTAGAGACCTGGGAGGGGAAGAGATGTCTTCAAAGTTGTTTCACACATATTCCCATGCCAACTATGAGCCTGACCATACTCCATTCGCCTACCAAACCACTCTGCGGCTCCTGCAACCCTAAGTGAAGGGGTACAACTGATAGGGGGCAGAAAGGGCAAGGGAGTGCCCTAGACTCTCCAGAAAGGTCTGTACTGCTTTGCACACATGCCACTGTATAGATAATACACCTTTTAGCAAGATGCAATACCTTCTTCTTCTTTTTTTTTTTTTCTTTAAACTGGAGGACAAAGTCAGCAGTACAAATGGAAGTATGCAGAATAATCAGTCAAAAGAAATCCTGTGAGACTAACTATTTCAGTTCATGAAAGTAATGTGTACAAAGCATGGTATGGCAGACTCAGAAGTCTAGATGAAGAGAATTCAGAGAGATGCCCTCAGCTCTCCTCTCCCCACCCCTATCAGGGATTTGCTGATTGGGGGAAGGTCAATCAGTTCTCTTCAAGAGAATAGGTGCCAACTTCCTCTATTTAATTTTAGTTTTCTTTTCTGTTTTTGTTATTGTTGTTGGGTTTCTTTTGCTTGTTTTGGCAGAGGTTCTCACTCTGCCTAAAATGCCCAGTCCTCTTGCCTTCCTAATTAGGAGGATTTCATGTCACAGCAACTAGGTTACATTTAATTTCAGAATCGTCTTTTTATCATGTGCTTTTCAAAGAATCCAGCTGTTTTGTGAGGTACATGGTTGGCCCAAAAGAGAGAGGTTATCCTGACTCTCTGCATGCACATCCCATTCCTATCTCAATTCATCACTTCCCCATCACTGTGTTCTACCTTCGGGAAAGTCCTCTGGATCCTGAAGGAGGCTCCAACAAACTAGTAGAAGCCAATCATTCTATCCCCCAGGAAGGATTATGTGCATGTGTGCATGTGTACATGTGTGCATAGGTGTGTGCACTCATACACTTGAGTATGCATGCATGTAGAGGATAAAGGCCAGTGTTGGATGTCTATTGCTCTCCATCCTTTTGTCTTACACAGAGTTTCTCACTGAATCTGGAGATGGCTGATTCAGCCAGACTGGCCAGTCAGCAAGCCTTAGAGATCTAACTGTGCCTTTCTCTAGCAGTGAGTGTAGGCACATGCTGCCTGTCATGTTTGGCTTCTTATATTGATGGAATCCAAACTAAGGACTCATGCTTGCATGATAAGCACCAAACCAACTGAGCCATCTATCTCTCCAGCCCAAAATGTCATGGGTTTGGGTAGGTGATTGTTAAAAAAAAAAAATCCATTATGCAAATCAAAACCACTCTGAGACTCCATCTTACACCAATCAGAATGACTAAGATCGAAAATGCCAATGACAGCTTATGCTGGAGATGATGTAGAGAAAGGGGAACACTCATCCATTGCTGGTGGAAATGCAAGCTGCTGTGGAAATCAGTGTGGCAATTTCTCAGAAAATTAGGGATCAATCTTCCTCAAGACCCTGCAATACCACTGTTGGGCATATGCCCAAAGGAGGTACACTCACATCACAACAACATTTACTCAACTATGTTTATAGCAACATTATTTGTAATAGCCAGACCTTGGAAACAGCCTAGATGCCCCTCAACTGAAGAATGGATAAAGAAACTGTGGTATATTTACACAATGGAGTACTACTCAGCGGTAAGAAACAATGACATCCTAAAATTCACAGGCAAATTGGCAGAACTAAAAAAAAAAAATTAAGTGAGGTACCTCAAAACCAGAAAGACAAATATAGTATGTACTCACTCATAAGTGGATACCAGACATAAAGCAAAAGATATCAAGCCTACAATCTATAATCCCAGGGAAGCTTGAACCCTCTTCCAGAAACAGATGGAAACAGATAAAGAAATCCACACCTAACCAATGGGCCAAGCTCCTAGTGTACAATTGAAGGAGCGCTAATATGAACAAAGGAGTCAAGATCATGATGGAGAAACCCACAGAATCAGCTGGCAGGAGCTAGTGAGAGATCACTGACTGAGGTCTGACAACTGGGGAACCTGCATAAGACCAAACTAGACGTCTTTAATATAGGTGACAATGGTGTGACTGGGACAATATATGAAGCCACTGGCAGTGGGTCCAATATCTAACTAACACTCATGCACAAACTGACTTAGTGGAACTCATTCTATATGGAGAGAAGATACCATGCCCAGCCTAGACAGGGATGTGGGGGTGGAGAGGTGTCTTGGTCCTGCCTCAACAAGATAATGGGAGAGACTTAGTAGACTTCCTAGGGGAGGTCTTACCCTCTCTTCGGAGCACATAAGAGGAGAGCAGAGGGAAGACTAGGAGGAGAGGAGGGAGGGGGAACTGGGATTCAAATGTAAAAAATAAATTAATAATAAAAAGAAAGTAAAAATATCCATTACCCAAAAATTGGTATAGAAACCTCTGATTAACTAGGTTATAGTAGCACTGCAAGTTGTCAATCAGGTCTGCTATTTCGACTCCTGCCAACCCAAATTCACATCAATGAACACAGAGGTATAAGGGGTATGTTTTTAAGCAATAACCAAAACAGTCATTTCTGGAGAACACAAATGTCATTGTTTCCCGAGAAAACACACTCTAATTGCTGTAATATGGCTGTTGTTGCCCCTTCTTTGCAGATGTGGAAACTGAGTCTTGGGGAATTTAAAACATTGCTTCAATTTGCACAGAAGCCAAAGAGCAAGTAATTCAGAGAAGGAAGAGCCTGACTCTAGTTCATGTCTTCTCTTCTGAGTCCTTCATTTCTGCTTAGAAAACAAACACCAGATTATCAAACTCCAGAAGAGGCCTAGAGTAAATAATGTCCCCAGTGTCACTAATGCAGGACTGGGCCCAAATATATCCTAATTCCCCCAGCCTTCTCTGTCATACATTCTCACTTTCCTTGATTCAGATTTACAGGAGAAAAAAAGAGCCACGCCCAGCAGTACCTGTGTCCTTTGTCAATGGCTGCATCCAGATGTCTCTACAAACGGGTCTAGGCCTTCAACTTAGAAAAACTTCCCTGCAGTACACAGGTTCACTGGGCTACAACTCTCCCTCCTGAAGGAGCAGCCTCAGTCCAGCCCAGGCTGCCTTTGTTTACTGTTTGTCACTAAGCACTCGCTGCCCAGTGAGTAAGTCAATAAGGTCCCTCCGCCTTCCTGCCACTCTCTGCCAGTAACTGGCATAGCCACACAGCAGTCTTCTCAAGGCCAGTGGGCCCAGAAAGCAGTAAGAGCTCAATCGGATTAGGAGCCACTGAAGGCTGTAGGAGCTGGCTCAGAAAGGCTTTTATCATGACGTTGCTTTATCACCTGCTCAATAAAAGAAAGATCCCTCCCTGCAAGGAGGAGGGTGGCAGGGACATACCTCAAGTGCTACAGCTTGGTTTCATCAGTTCCACAGTGCTCCCTGTCCATGAACAGTCGGGATTCTGACCTGCACCCAAGGTAACCCAGAAGCAAAGGCGATCCTACCCCAGCCCAAGGACTTTGAGCTGCTGGTGGAAAGGCAAGACAATGCCAGCCCCAGCCTCTGGTGCCTGAATTCAGGAAGGACTGGGCTGAGACAAAAGGACCAAGAGACAGATCAAACCTCTCTAGAGGTGGCCGTGAAAGAACGAATCTTTAAGCCCCTTCAGAATTAGCAGTGTCAAACTGAGAACTAGTTTTGAAAGGAAAAATACAAGGTTTAATTGATCAAAAGAATTTTGGCGCAGCTGTTGGAATCCATGAATGAATGTATTCTCATCTGCAGTAGTAAGATGATAGATCAAGGTCTCTCTCTTTAAAGAATGCCAAGTACCTCGTTTGCAAATTCAACCATTCAGGAGCAACGCCATAGGTACACTAAAAAGCCCACGCAAGCATCTGAAAAAGGATGCACACTGTAGTCTAGCTGTTTCATGTCATTTTTAATAGCATATAAAATTATTGTAGTATATCTTTGTAACACCAAAACGCTAAAAGCCATCATGTGCCTGTCCATAGTGGGTCTATAAATAGAGTGTGTTACACACAGAAGAAAACTAAATGCTTGGCTGTACATAGAAGAGAATCAGATCTGGGTCTTGGGGAACTTAGCAGCTGCTGAGAAAATATTTTAAAAATGGAAGCTCAATATGATTCATTTTCTTGCAAATAGATCAATGCATGTATGTATGTATGTACGTACATATGTATGTATGTATGTATGTACGTACGTAGATGGGGCAGGAGCTAGACTTCCAGAGGACCCAGGTTCCATTTCCAACATCCACATGGCAGCTCACAACCATATGTAACTCCAGTTCGAGGGATACATGCTTTCTTCTGACCTCTGAGGGCACTACATACACCACATGGTACACAGACAAACAGGCAAAATGCTCAACATACAAACTTCTAAAAATGGAAAAAATTTAGAATAAGCATATGTCTATATTCTTTATTTAGACAAGTCACAAAAATGTAAAAGTGGTTACTTTGGGAAGAAAAAATATTGTCTACTTTTTTCCTCCCCTGTATTTTTGTATTATATTGTTTTTTAAAAATATATACAATGTTATATAAAAAATTACCTTTTGCCACTTACAGTTACTTTTACTGGCACTCCCTATTAGTTAGAAAAGGCATTTTATGATCGTTGTGAGCATCTATTTTTTTTCTTCAAAATTTCTCCATGCATCAGATTCAACCAGGGACTTGATAAAATTCAGATCTGCAGACACTGCCTGGTACCTTCTGAGCTTTTGTCTCTGAGCTACAGCTAAAAACAGGTGGGTCTTCAGCAAGTCCCTATTGTGGTGATAAATTGCTTATGATCTAGTAAAACTTTCCTGAAGATCAGAATGCAAAGATAGTCACAGCAATAGAGGCCAGGCAGTGGTGGTACACACCTTTAATCCCAGCAGCCACACCTAAGTCATGGTCACGCAGGTGGTATTGGTCTGCCTCAATTCACTGCTGCCTCCATCTTTTCTCTTAGAAATGCTTGCACTCACAACTGGGTTCCTGTAGTTAGTCCCATATGTCATATTGAAACGTGGGGAAAAGATCTTGCTTCAGTATTGAAATGTTCAAATTTATATGTTTTTAATTTTTTCAACTGCTTCACTCTCAAGACCTGTTTGTTCATAATTATGCAGTGTCCTTGAAAGTATGACATCAAATAAAGAGAGATCCAACACTGAAACCAACTGCCAGTTAGAGAGGTACTCTGGAGAAAGCATATGCACGTACATGTACACATAGATTATAATTGCATTGGGTGGGGAATGTAATTACTCCATGCGGTTATAGAAGCTAAATTCTGTAATCTGCCTTCACAAACTGAAACCCCACTCTAACAGAAGATACAGTTCCAGTCTAAGTTCAAAAGCCAGAGAATCAGGAAAGCCAATGGGTTAAACCTCAGCCCAGGGGCTCAACAGTTGCCCTGAGGAAAAGGTGATTTCTCTTTATCTGTTGCAATAACTCAAACTTCCAACACTAAGAGATCTTGGACACTATCAGTTTTGGCTGAATTAGGTTGTTATAGTTTCCCACAGACCCTACCACAAGACATGGTAGATGGTTTAAAGTGTGTGAAGGACGTATGTAAGCTAGACACAAATGCCACACTGGCACATAATTTATAAACTTAATCCAGGGCCAAGGGAAACTGGTCTTTTGCCAGATTGTCTTCTCTAGTCACAATGTCAGGATCTAAGGGCATAATGTATACAATCCCTCAATGACTGTGACACCCAACGTTGGCATCACCATCTCCAACCTATGAGCAAACTCCTTACTCCTGGTGAGCAGAAATGTGCACTATAGGTCTGCAGGTTCCAGTCTAATTTCTTTCTGGTCTGTGCTTTCAGGATCCGGACAAACCTAACCAGGATGACTGAAAAGCTGAGTGAGTATGGAAGAACAGACTATTTAACCATTAGAGACTATTTCAGCCCACTAGAGAGACACTGGAAATCACTGACTGGGCCTCTTATCAAAAGTGTCTGACTCTACTTTAATGGGATCTTTCTCACCTTCCATCTTTCTCAACTCAGTAGGAAATTGGAAGAAAACAAGAGCAGCTACCCCCAAAGCCGAATACTTGACACATGAATTAGTTGCTTTTCTCAATGTTATAACAAAATATATGAAAGCAGCCTCTTTCAGGAACTTTGTTTTTATTGTTTGTTTGTTTTTTGTTTTGATTCATGGTTGCAGAAGTGTTTCAGAGCGATTCTATGGTGGCATGAATGTGTGGTGCAGCTGCTTATGTGGCAATCAGATCAGGAGGCAGACAATGGCAAAGGAAGCAGGGCCAGGCTTAAAGGGCTGTCCCCAGTGACCCACCTCCACTAGTCAGGCTCCACCTCCTAAAGATTCCATAGCATCCCTAAATAGTGCCACCAGCTGTTCACCACATGTTCAGACGTATAAGCCTATTGGTAACATTTCGCACGCAAGCTGTAACAGCATGTCCATCCTCTTCCTGGGGCTGTGCTAGCAAAAGCATTTGGGAATTCAAGAGTTGTTCTAGGATAGAAAGGAAAAAGTCTGCTGAAGACTTCAGGAAACATTTGGAATTAAGGGTATCATTCACAAGAGACAATTTATTGAAGTCTTCAACATCTGGACTATGAAATTGTCTCAGTCAGTGAGTTGCTGGCCATGCAAGAGTGAAGATGGGAATTTGGAATCTCAGTACCTAGTATGGGGGGGGGAGAGTAAGACGTGCCATCACTTGCCTGCAGTTTCATCCCTGAAGAGGTGGAGATGGAGGATTCCCAGAGCTCTCTGGTCAGCTGGCCTAGCTGAATCTGTGAGTTTTATATTCACCAAAAGACTCTGTTTCAAAAATTAAGCTGCGGATTAATTGTAGAAGACATTCAAGATTGACCTCAGGCCTCCACATGCATAGTACTCACAAAAGACACAACATACCTGCATGCAAACATGTGCACACAAAATCACATATACATACATATACTACACACACACAAAAACATATGTGTGTGTATATATATATATGATATATATATATGGCATATACATACATATATATATATATATAATGCAAACATAAGCACACAAAATCACATATACATACATATATCATGCCCAGGCACTCACAGATACACACATGTATATACAGAACCAACAACTTCTCTCTCATGTAGAAACTCGGGCCTCTAATATTTCCCACCCACCATTGGGGAAGAATCCAGGCAAGCAGAAAGCACTCTTTTCCCAGCTAGTTTCATATTCAGAAGGTTTTGAGAGAACAGGGTATTCGGTAACTGGTGGTGATTTTTATGTTGTTGTGACGGCCAATCTTGATCACCAACTTGATGGGATTGAGAACCACCTAGGTTACGAGTGCTTACCTCTGAGTATGTGTATGGATGTCACTAAGGGAGGGAGCCCTATCTTGGGTGGGTGACACCATCCTACAGATTGAGGTGGAATGAGAGGAAAAAGAGAGAACAGCCACTAGCACAACCGTCTTCTCTTTCTGTTTCCTGGCTAGCATGAGGTGGCCACCACACACCTTCACATCCCTCAGCCTCCCCTTAGACCTAAAATGACAGGGCCCAGGCCATTAACTAAAACCTCAAAAACAGTAAGATTCTCCCTTTGCTTTCCTCAGGATTTGTGATGAGTCAGAAGGTCTGACTAACCCGGTTGATAGTTTTCTATACTTCCCAAAATTGATTTGGCTTTTTTTGTATTCTGCATATACACACATAAATATACATATATATGCACATTATACATACATGTATATGTTACATATACATATATATTTAATATTGCATATATAACACATTGTATGTATACACATATACATGATATATACATTATAGAATGCCTTTGAAGTGCTTTCATGCTTGGACAGGATGTATGTTGTGTCTCATACATTTGCTATCATAGCTATATAGATGGTGATTACATATGTATATCTCATGGTACAAATACCTGAAGCTGCATATTCTTTACTGGCTGCTGCAGATCTATGCCCTACCTTACCCTCTCATCTGCAGTACTAATACAAGACTACACCTCCAGGCTCTGATGTACTACTTGTGGTTTGGTCCCCAACCATGACCAAGGTTA